CCAGTGAATAACACTGCTGCTGGCATTTTATATGCAGTAGTGGATGAGTGAAGGACTATAATCATAGCTCACTACTTGCTATTGTTTTTGTTTTAATATTCAACTATAGTAGTGTTTTAAAAGTTAAATGAAGAATAAACTCAAATATAAAAGCTCTGACTTTGCCCTGTATGTATGATGACTTCAGTGTGCAAGATAAGTTTAATACTGTAAAAACTACTTTTAAAAAATCTCCCCTAGCGTTTGTTAGGCCATACCTTGTAATTGATTGCAGCTCTGTATATGAAACAGTTCAGACTGAAATGCTAGGTGTATGTATTGACTTCAGTGTATGACCCTTAATTGTTAAGCTATGAAGTTAAAACTTGTATTTAATTGGCAATCAGACAAAGAATTTATTAATTTGTAGAGAAGTGTTGGTCTGTAGTTACGTTAAGTAGGATTCATTGTGATGCCTCTGCATTTTATTGCCTCAACTGTTACTTGAAGATGGCATGCTATGTAATTTAATTTGGCCTGTGGTATCAGTGATAGAAAGGATACCTCTCTAAAGAAGTGGTTTATCATACGCTGCTGCTTGAGGGCTTGCACTTGTAGAATTGCATTCCCTTCTGTGCCATCTTTTTTTTTAAAAAAAAATACATATATATATATATCAGTCCTGGTTACTTTTTTTCCTTCTCTTTGGACCATGATAAACTTCAGAGTAGTGACTTCAGGAGCCAGGGTAACTTAGAGTGAAGAGACATTTACGTGGAGAAGTTAATTTGCATGTATGAGACAGGAAGGTGTCTTCTAGGTATGTGACAGGCTTACTTTAAACCATTTAACTTATGCTCCGAAGTAATTGTAATTTCATGTTGGTAGTATAGCAAATTATGATGAATAGCTTTAATTGTATGTTTAAAAGTCATGTTCTCAAGCTTAAATCTGGGATCAGAATTAAGCAATTGAAATGTATGAATGTCTCCTTAATATACTGATTACAAAGCATTTCCAATGTGTCACTACAGGCTTTTTTTTTCTCCCCCGTAGATTAAAAGCACTGGTTTTTCACTAAGGTAGAATAGGTGGTTTCTCATTTAACTAGTTAAATGTGTAATACAAAATGCTGTTGAACTACAGTTAAATGTTAACAAGTGTGGGGAGTGAAAGTGGGTGAGGGTAATGAGCCAAAAGGGGTTTTTAAAACTCAACAAATACTGGAGTAAGAATGTGAGAGTTTTGCCTGTTTATTCTGGTTTTGCTGTTATCAGAAAGCTTAAATATTTCCAACTTTAAGGGGCCCAGGTCATAAATTCCCCTCATAGAGCACACCTGAGTTAAAAAGGAGACACTAAAACTTACTCTGTGAAGAGAGTGGTTCCCACACCTTAAGTGTTCATCATCGTGACATTCCCAATTGACAACCTTTATGCTTAGGCTGTCTTTTGTTTGTACCAGTTAAGCTCATGTTTGGGTATGTGCTACGTGCTCAGGAAGGCAAAACAAAGTATTCAAAAGCAAAGCAAAAAAAATTCAAAATAATGTCTGTGACAAGACGTTTTAAATTAAAAACCTGTAGTGTAATATATTTAACACTTAAAAAAAAAAGTTTTTGACATCAGTCACAAGAGTATAAATCAAAACCAGTGAGATCCCACTTCACACCTACTAGTCCAGAATGAAAACAGGTGAGAATGTGGAGAGGTTGGAACTCTACCTTATTAGTGAGAATGTAAAATGGGTGTTTCTGTACAGAAAGTTAGGCAGTTCCTCAGAAAGCCAAACAATGACTATAGAACTGGTAGTTCCCTCCTTGGCTAATAAGATACTTGCTGCCCATGTTGTTTGTTGTAGCATTCAGAGCCAAAGAAGGAACAAAGAAAGCCATGTCCAACTAATAGACAAAATGTGATGGTGCATGTACAGGTGACAGACACATAAGGACAAATTATCGTATGTATGTATACATACTTCAATATACTGGACGAATTCCTAGAGACCACTTAACCAGGGGCTAGGGGGAAGAGAGGAATGGAGAGTTAGGGCTTAATTGTGGTGATGAGAAAGTTTTAGGTACAGTGATGGTTGCACAAGGTCCTGAGTGTTACTTAATGCTGCTGGGCTATACAGTTAAAAATGGTGAAGTACGTTTTATTTTGCATGTTACATAAAGATCCAAAAAGTAGAGATCACTAAGAGGAAATGGTTAACAATCTGATAGGCAGAAACAGTAAGTTTGTAGTCTAAAAACTACCTCTGAGAATTTTGACCAAGGTCATCTCTTAGAACTCTGACCAAGTCTGCCATGGAAATACATACGCATCAACACAAGTGTAGTTCCTGGTCCCAACACTAATGCTTTCTCTGATGCTTCCCTCATCCATTCATACTTGGAACAAGAATGTCCCACGAGGATGCTCCTGGAACACGGTGGTAGATTTATTGAGTGTGAAGTTAGCATCAGATCTTCCCTGCATATGGTACTGGTTTTCAGCGTTGCCTACATTTATAGTTACCTGGGAAGTTTTAAAACATTTGAGTCACCTGGTCACCCCACCCCCAGGGATTTTGATGTAATTGAGCTGGGTGTAGCTGGAGCATCAAAATGGTTATGAACAGCCAGGGTTCAACACTACCAACATGGGGACAGTGAGGTTAACTACCTAGTAATAGCACTGCTAAGAGAATTCCTGTGAAGTGTAGAAGGTCTAAAAATACAAGTGAAAGGGCTAACCAGCTAGTGTAATATAAAGGTGTTTTTTTTAATTTTTTTCTAAATTTTTTTTTTAATTTATTTATGATAGTCACAGAGAGAGAGAGAGAGAGAGGCAGAACCAGGCAGAGGGAGAAGCAGGCTCCATGCACCGGAAGCCCGACATGGGATTCGATCCCGCGTCTCCAGGATCGCGCCCTGGGCCAAAGGCAGGCGCCGAACCGCTGCACCACCCAGGGATCCCTAAAGGTGTTCTTTGAAGGGTTTCTGAAGTCCTGGATCTTCATTTTATCTCTAATCTATGAAACAATCAAAACACTTACTTTGTACGTGGAGAAGTTGTCTGCTGGTTCTCAAATTTGAGCAAAGTTGCTGAGCCCCACTGACTGCCACAGTTGCTGATTCCAGTTGTCAGGAACAGAACCTGAGAATTAGTCTTTTGTTTACCAGGTGACACCTAGAACCTAGAACTGCTCTGGCCCAAGGGAAATGTAACAGCAAAAAATGGAATCCCAATTTTTATAATTCATTGCTCTTTTACTCTCACTGCCTGTGGCTACTTTAGGTAAATAAGTTGGAATGTGGACAAATAATCCGTGAATTCTTCGCCTTTTCCCAAATCTAAAGAGAAGCTGACAGCAGCTAGATTCAAAGAATAAATTCCAAAGCTTTGGAATTACACTTGGTTTTCACTGTGTGCTCCATGAGCAAGGTATGGAAACCATAATAGGTGGTAGGTACCTCAGAGTAGTTCTGAAAAGTAAATGAGGCTGCTCACATAGAAAGCAAGGTCTCAGTAAACGCTCTTAGTTCTAGTACTACAAGTTGAAAAACAACTGGTGAAGACCTTGAACTGTACTCAAGCTTTAGAAAGAAAAAAGGTTTCCCTGAAATACCCTCAGGCACTAATTTGATGATTGGGGAATAAGACAAATGTCCTTAGCCTTTCAGAGTTCATTTTACTGCCATGTACTTTAAGTTGTAAGTAGAAAGAAATACCAGTTAGATCTGTAGGTGGCTGCAGTTACCTCCCTAGAAACCTGACAACTTGCTGTCAGAAGAGTACAGCTGTCCATCTCTCCTCTCCTGCTATTTGCAGGGAATACATTCTAAGACACCCCTCCCCCCCAGTGGATACCTGAAACAGGATGGTCCTGAGCCCTATATGCATTTGTACCTATACAGACGCCTACCTAGGATAACCTTTAGTTTGTAAACTTGGCATAGTAAGAGATTAGCAGCAACAATAAAATAGAATATACTGTAGTGAAAGTTGTGAATGTGGTCTCAAACTATCTTGCTGCACTGTACTCCCCGTTGTGAGCTAAAATGACCACATGAGGAGACGCAGTGAGGTGAATGATGAAACGCTTTGTGCACACACTCGTAAGGTTTGTAACAATGAAGTTGTAGACCATTGCACAAGGGGGTTACCTGGGAAAGGCACAAGATTCATGGTTGTTTTTTTAAGATTCATGGTTTTAAACTGTTATGCAAGCAATTCACTATTACAAAAAAATACCTACTCGGCTCCCAATCCAGGCCTCTTCACCTGGTCTCCCAAGACAACTACCATTTGTCCAGCAATGCCTTGTTGCTAGACTACACTGCAGAGACTGGAAAGGTTCCTGCTAACGTGGACCACCAAGCTGTCTTTTTATGGTCAACCCTCCAGGAAGGCTTCCCTAACTCAGAAGGGCTGATTAAGGCCAAATAACTCCCAAGATTTTTTTCATCCTAGTCTTAAATACTGTTTTCTTGTTTTTTAAGATTTATCTGAGAGGGATCCCTGGGTGGCGCAGCGGTTTGGCGCCTGCCTTTGGCCCAGGGCGTGATCCTGGAGACCCGGGATTGAATCCCACGTCGGGCTCCCGATGCATGGAGCCTGCTTCTCCCTCTGCCTGTGTCTCTGCCTCCCTCTCTCTCTCTGTGACTATCATAAATAAATAAATAAAATTTAAAAAAAAATAAAAAAAAAATTATCTGAGAGCGCATAAGCAGCGGAGAGGTAGCAGCAGACTCCCCTCCAAGCAGGGAGCTTGACTTGGGACTGATCTGATCCCAGGGCCCTGAGATCATGACCTGAGCCAAAGGCAGATGCTTAACCTACTGAGCCACCCAGGTGCCCCTTAAGTACTCCATTTAACTTGAATTTCTTTGCTATTCTATGACAGTAACTTTTTTTAAGCCATCCTTAGCACTAGGTACAGAAACAGATGTTTGATAAAAATTCCTAAAAGGAATAAATGAACATTTGCTTATGTTCTTGTTCATTGTGAGCACAAAGGAAATACTGTTAAAATTCAACTGAAAAAATTGACTTTATTCAACGGTTAGTGAATCCAGCAACATCCCATCTAACAGAAAGGAGCTCTGAAGAGCTGCACATAATGAAAGGCTTTTATAGACTTAAAGGGAATGGGAGAAGGAACTCCAACAGAGTGGATTGTTTCAGGCAAGGTTACCTTCCTTTGGGGGACAGTCGGGGCCTACCAGGCAGACTACCTCCTAAATGCTGAGTCAGGTAACATCACTGGTTACAGGTTACAGTCCTGGGACAGGCTGAAACTGCAGCTGGGGTTTGCCGATGTGGGGCTTAACACAAGAGACTCCATTTTGGCCTACTTTATTTTAGCAGTACTGCTCAACTACCTGTTGCAATTTCTTTAACTTTCCTAAGAGATTTTAGAATGAGCCGTTTCCTCTTTCCACCTTTATGTGAAAACTTAGTTTCACTGGGATGGGAGATTCATTCATATGAATTTATGGATTCATGGCTATATTCAGCTCTCAAATGGCAGAAAACGACATTCTTTCAAAAAGCCGCAGGTTTTATTTTAGAGGGTGGGGAGGGGAGAGGGGGGCATGGGTCTGCACGAGCAGGGGGAGGGGCAGAGGGAGAGGGAATCTAAATCCATATCCATGTTCAACACAGAACCTGACATGGGGCTCAAACCCATGACCTTGAGATCATGACCTGCACTGAAATCAAGAGTCAGATGCTCAACTGAGCCACACAGGCTCCCCAAGAAAGTTGCGGGTTTCATGGCAAAAGGAAAAAATGTTTGGGAGTATGATTGGGAAAGAGTGGTTTCTTAGTGCTGCCAAGGCTTAATTCCACCAATACTGAACATTATTGTGCCAGGCGCAAAGGATCAGGCTATTATTTCAAAGTAAATTATAACAAACTTTTTTAAAACTTTCCCCGTTAGTTTGTACCTAATAAATGCTAAAATTAAAAAGAGGCACAGAAGGTCTCACTTTTCTTGAAATGATCCCTGCACAGCACCTTCAACATCAACATCACCAACATGTATCAATAAATATGTCTTTGGTTGAAACAAAAGACACCCATGTGCAAACTATTGAAGAATTTTGTTGGCTTTTACCTTTTTAACTGGTAAGGATGCATAGAGCAAAAAAGACTTCCCTAAATCCCAGGTCCTTTTCAAATTTCCTTCAGAACAGTAGCACATTTTCAATGCCAAACTCTAAGATGCTAAAACTGACTCCTCATAATGGATCCTGCAGCTAGTTCAACCCAGAAGATGGAGAGGGTAGTCTCTGGAGCCAGAACACACAGGAAGGAAGGCACAGCTAAGAAGAGTGAGTGGATGGTGAGGGCAGTGAAATGAGATTCTATGCAACCCCTGACCTTTTTACATTCAATCTAGCGTTCTAGACAGGAATGGATGCCCTACCCTCTTCACCTGATCCTAAGTAAAATACATTAACTAGAAGAGCACTTATTTACATTTAAAAACAAAGCCTCCAAAAGGTGGAAAGTTTATTAACATCTAAAAAACAGAACAGCAGAGAGCTATTGAATGTGGGATAATTACTACTTATTCACCGGTTTTACTGCAGGAGGTACTTTTTAAATCACCATTTCAAATCAAAGGAGTACAGTTTTTTTTTTCTAGAAACAGCAGTGTTTCACCCTTCAGGTAGAAGACTACATTAAGTGCCCCAATTAGAAACAGATAAATGAATACCTTAAAAATATATAAAAAAGGGTGACTGCTACTTGAACATGAATTTCCACAAAATTATTCTTGTGCCTAACTTCAGTTGCTTAGAAAAGGTAGCTTAAAAAAAAAAAAAGCAATACATGAATATGCCTTGACTTAAGTACATGCTCTCAAGCAAGTTTTAAAAGAAAAGTGGAAATTAGGGTTTCCAGAGTTTTAGGAGTCCATCTTCACTGTAGGTAGCAATCAGGTTTTGATGAGGGTGATGTGCAATACCAATCACATCCTTCTCGTGAACCTGGGAAAAGTAAAGCACTGGGTTAGAGGATATAGATCTATATAAATCACACTGAAGAAGCCTCCAGAGCTGTGGGAAGGAGGAATGAAGCTTCCACTTCTCACCAAAGAAATCAAACTTTAAAGGAACCTCGAAGAGGGCTAAATAAAAACAAGTGAGGCTATCACACTGCTGGTTCACATTTTCTGTACTGTTTTTTACAATGTGTGAATAATGCTTTGTCCCAAATCACTTTCACATTACAGCTGATCCTATTTACCATCATTTTTGTAAAGTTCGTAAGTTTTGTAAATTCTAGGCCAAGACAGAGGCTAATAAGACTAAAGAATATCAGCTCAGTGAACTTGTATTTTCTAGATCCCTCAGCTAGGCTCCTCTGAGATCTGTATGGAGTCCTGATAGGGCAGGTGCACCAAAACTCACTCAAGAACCGGCTGAGACCAAGAGATGATTTTCTAACATGGGCATGTATGCAATTTTTTATATGTTTACATTCTCACTTCCTGGGCCACAGAAAACTATGTTTTCCCTTTCCCTCCTTGCATTCAGTCAGACATGTGACTGAATTCTAACTAAAAAAGAATGAGGAACAAAGTAATATAAGCCACTTCCAGATGTGAGTCTCAAAAACATCTAGTATAGCCCTCAGCTAGTTTATCTCCTCCTGAAATCTTAGAGGCCACATATTCCAAATGACACAACTAGAAGATGGAGGAAGACCATCTCCTATCACATTGTGGCACAGCAAGAAATAAGCTGTATTTGTGGCTTTCTGCAGGGTGTATAGCTCATCTAGCTAGCTAGACAGGCATGTTCCCTTTCTTATTCTCTGCCTTACGTATACCCTCCTATACACTTAAGGCTGAGCTGCTCACTGAAGGATCACTTTTCCTGAGAGGAGGTAATTCCATACCATTATTTATGGGTCCTTTATTTTATTTGGTGATATCATTTTATATTTTCTATATGAAGGTTCACACAGCAGTCTGGAGACGGTTTACCTCAGCGTTCAGAAAGACACAAGTATGAATGAAATTTCTTTAGATGGCCTCAAATCTGTAATACTCACTGTCAAGGTTCTCTCCAGTTTGCCAGTGACTGTGCTAAAACAGTAGAGCACAAAGTCCTCCCCTACGCAGTAGATCCATTCACCACGGGGAGATAGGGCACAGCAAACGAAATCACCACCTTCTCTCTTACCAGAGCTGAAGCTTCTGACAATCTAGATCATACCATAATACCCGAGGCAAAAACAAAACATCTGGATTAGCAATAATTCTAAAGCAGCAGTCTTAACATCTTTACATTGTTATTTTGCATTTTGGTTTATTGACATTTAGAATTAGATCACCAATTACACTCACTGCTAAAATCCTCTTGCCTATGAAATATTCAATGGATAAGCTATCTAAACTTAATCATATATCCCAACTTACCAATCCTTTTTTACTCAAGTCATTTTACCCTGAAGCAAATTCATTACCACCCAATTTCTAAATCAATATACTACCAGTTCTCAATGCTTTGTGGGCTAATACTCCACTGTTTCCTCTAACAGAATGATGCTTTCCTCATGCAAGATGCAACTGTCTCCAAAACCTTACTTGTTCTATTTTACACACCACATCATCATAAATCAAGCTGAGAGAAACCAATCTCAAAAAGTTACATACCATATGATTCCATCTTTACACCATTCTCAAAATGACAAAATAATGGAAAGCAGATCAATGGTTGCTAGGGTTGGGGAGAAGGTTTGCTTATAAAGGTATATAGCACGAGGGAGCTCCCTTGGGGATGGTGAAACAGTTCTGTATCCTGATTGTGATAGCAGTTACAAAAATTTATACGTCGGAGAAAATTTCATAGAACTTGTTGCCTCAAAATGAACGCATGTTGTAGAGATTAGTGAAATCCACATGAGGTTAGTATTTGAGTTAATAGTATTGTATCATTGTCAATTTCCTGGTTCTTGATAACTGTACAATGGTTCTGTAAGATGTTATCAGGGAAAGGGTGTGCACACAGGGACTCTTCATCCTGTACCAGCAGAAAACTATGAAGTAGGCAACTACAGCTGTTGTGCAGGGACCCAGTAGACAGAATAGAACAGCCAGCTCAACCGTGGGCTCTTTTTGTCCGTCAGTTTACTTAGTTCAGTCAGTCTGTCTATTTAATCTCTACACCCTGAGATCAAGAATCACATGCTCTTCCAGCCAAGCCAGCTAGGTGCCCCTCGACCATTGGTTCTAAACTACAAATTTATCAGTGATAAGGACTAACAGAATGGAGGTGGTTCCAGACACCAGGCCCTCGCACTTCTCCATGCTCAGCAGGATCCCCAAGGGCTCAAGCCAACATTTTAGTAGCACCGCAACACATTCCCTTGACATTCCTAATGTCCCTGGTGCTACAAAAGTGAGGTTTCTTGGGAACCATGCAGGCACCCTGACTACAAATATACATCACGAAGATACTGTTGCCCTTCTATGAGAGTTCTCATCTTAGATGGTGTGGTAACTAGGAGATGTCCTAAGTTAGTAATCCAATCCACATACCATACATAGCTCCCTTATTCAGGGTTTGTTACTTACAACACAGGTCTGAACTGCACATGTCCACTTACACACAGATTTTTTAATTTAATAATTTTTTTAATAATCTCTACACCCAGCATGGGACTCAAACTCACAACCCCAAAAAAGTCACATGCTCTTCTGACTGATCCAGCACCCCACAGATTTTTAGAAACAGTATGGGGATGCTTGGGTGTCTCAGTTGATTAAGCATCTGCCTTTGGCTCCAGTCTTGATCCCAGGGTCCTGCATCAGGCTCCCTGCTCAGTGGGGAGCCTGCTTCTCTCTCCCCCTCTGCCCTTCCCCCTGCTCATGCTTTCTCTCTGACAAATAAATCTTTGACTTGATCCCAGGATCATGACCTGAGCTAAAGGCACTTAACTGACTGAGCTACCCAGGTGCCCCCCTTAGGTTTTTCTTATTTACCTTTTCTCTAAGCTTACTTTATTGTAAGAATACAATATATAGGGATGCCTGGATGGCTCAGCGGTTAAGCATCTGCCTTTGGCTCAGGGCATGATCTCAGGGTCCTGGGATCAAGTCCTGCATCAGGTTCTCCTTCTGCTTATGTCTCTGCCCCCTCTCTGTGTCTCTCATGAATAAATAAATAAAATCTTAAAAAAAAATACAGTATATAATACACATACAAAATACATGTTAATTGTTTATGTTATCAGTAAGGCTTCTAGTCAACAGTAGGCTGTTAAGTTTTAGGGGGAGTCAAAAGTAATATGCAGATTACTGTGCAGGGCATCAATGCCCTTAACCCCTATATTGTTCAAGGGTCAACTACATAAGGTTTTTGGAGTGATGAATCCATATTTGGTTACAGGAAGGGCCAGAACAAAGACATAATTTAGGAATGGCCTGCAAGATCTGTGCAAAGGCACTTTCTGAGCACTCACCTGCCCCTGCATGTTCATGATGACCACGGTATTTGATCTGTTGCACACCACAAAGTGCTCTGGGTTTTTAGGAAGCAGGATCACACTGTTGACAGTGATATCTGTCCCTGCAGTGCTGCCCAGGGATTTAAAGGTATTTGAACATTCTGTGGTCTTCATATTCCAGATCTATGACACGAAAATTTAAGGCATAATCATTTTTTGGGTATATGAATTTCAAAGTTTTGGGTTTAAAAAATGAACATTTGATAACTAAAAATGAATAAAACTGACTCAGAAAAAAAGCTTCTTGTTAGTCGTATCACATACCTAGCTTTGCATATACAAAGTAAGCACTCAGCATGGTTGCTGATTAATTAGCATCAAGTCACAAATCTATATAATAAAACCTTTTAAAATCTATGACCTCTTTCAAAATTTTCCTAATGAGCTATGTATCTTTAAAATTTGCTATGTATCAACACTGCTACTGTCAACCAGAAAGCCACCCTTATCTGGACATCAAAATAATATATAGGCTTTTTTAGAATTATAGGCTTGGGACTCTATCCTGAGATTCTGGTTTGATAGCTCTGAGAGGGGGCATAGGCATGTCCATTTTTAAAAAGCTCCACAAATGATTCCAATGTACAGCTTGAACCACTGTACAGAAGCCACAGTGTCGATATATATACAGGGATCCATGAAGTCACTCTTGGCCACATGTATTACCTCTCCCAGCCCAAAATCTCCCTAATGCTTTTCACCTTGCCCTTCTGGGCTGTTATGAACTGATAGGGTTAAATCAGACTTCACAATTAACTGAAATCAGAGATGTGCTTAAAAAAGGAATGGACCAAATCTTGCATGGATGGCATTGTCTGGACACCATTCACTTTATATATATATATAAAAATATACTATACACACACACACACACACACACACAGAAAAGCCTCAAAGGCATAGACTGTGTTGTTTCCTTTGTGCTTTCAACCGAGCTTCTTACGAAATGGATGTTGAATATCTATAACAGGAGGAAATAACTGCCTCACTAATGCCCCAGTATTTATTTCCTAATAAATACTGTTCTCATCTGCCCAAATCTCCTCTCTAAAGCCCAATTGCCTAGGAGAAAAATGAACTTTTCAGTGATGAAGAGTTCTAAGGCACCAGCATTTTCCATCCAAAAAGTCTATGAGATGTTATACCTGACTTGCTGAAGAACTAAAGGAAAAACCACAAAACTAAGCAAGACAGACAAGCCACCTCCTATTGGCATTTTACAGGTTGTAAGACACATATACAAAGCACAGAGGGCAAATCCCATGACTAAAGTACTAAGAGCACTGTGGATCTCCCCATCCATCCTGAGAAAGACTCCTACCCTCAGGTTCCTGGTTCAATTCCCAAGTGAGAACAAGCAATATCAGAGGGTAGTCTTTTAGGCATTCGTGTTAAAATGCTTACGGCTTCTGCCACAACTATACACTTACATAAGGCAATTTAAAAGCAGGTCCAGAATATAAATGGAGATCTCAAAGATCTCCAGCCATTTTCTATTTGGATTTCTCATCTCTTCTAGGAAATGAGGCCTGCTATTAAAAAAGAGATCTATTTATCTGGCCACTAAGCCCTTTGTAAACTTGACTATTGTGGGTGAAACATATCTATATCAAGACAGAATTTAACCACTATAAATGAGGGGGAGACAAGTATAGGCCTCTACACCCTTCCTCTTTTCCTACATGTGATAAAGTCTGTTCTGATTATGTAAGTGTGAAATCCAACACCTTTCAATAAGGATTCACCAGAGAGTTATTATTATGTCTCAGATTCCCCTCATTTACAGCTAAAACAGCTAATAAAGAAGTTTACTCCACCACAATCATCACCATTATCACCACTGAAAATTCTTCAAAGGACAAAAAATAGAAACCCCAAAATAAACCAGTATCAAATACTTAACCTTTACAGTGCCATCAGAGGATGCACTAATAATATAATGTCCATCTTGTGTAAAAGTTGCTTCATTAACAAAGGAGGAATGGCCACGAAATTCCTTCAGTGTTTTCCCAGATTTTAAACCGTGAATTCTATCACAAACAAAAGAAAATGAACAGTTAATATTCTATAGACTACAATTGGGACCAAATGTTGAATATACTTTCAATGAATTACAGAAGTTCAAATTATAATATCAGGTGAAGAAAGAGGACTATGCAATTACATATGCAGTATAATTTTCATTAAGTCAAACAAAACCAAACCAAAAGCTTGGCCCATAGGCTTCTGCTCAGAGACAGACTTCTAGGCTTGGCTATATTGTAATGTGTCCTCCATGGTGCTTTTAATGCAGGCCGGTCCAAAAATATCGCACTTTGAGAAACATGAGGCACTGCTATAATCCCTTTCTAATCTCTCTTCTAGGTGGACTCAAATGAACAAAATAATGAGGTCTCCACATACACTCACTCTCCATATAACACCATCTTGGTTAAAGCATAAGGAATCATTAGTATCTCCCTCCAGTGCTTCATCACAGCAAACCCAAGTGAGGGAGTTTGGGGACTCTTACTTACCTAATTGTCTGGTCAAAAGAGGCACTAAGGATCTGACTGCTATCCTTAGAAAAGCTTAGACAGGTGACACCTTTACTGTGGGCCCTTTCAAATCTCCTTAAACATTGTCCACTCTGAATCTTCCATACCTTTATTAAAAAAAATAATAAAAACTTGTAAATAGTGTCCCACTGTAGCCTGCAGGACCAAGCAAGATACAATGCTCAATGATGCACTAAAACAGTATTAAAAATGCATGCTAACAGCTGGCTATGGCTGCTTCACGGAGTGCAATAACGGAACCCTCTGAAACTTAAAACCTCTTTCCTTATAAATTATTAAAACAAAAATTTAGACATGAAGTTCACTTAGCAGAGACCATTTCTATATTTTATCTAGCACAGGGTGTTTTACCAGCAATTAAATACAAACCACAGGTAATCAACTGCAGACCCTTCCATTCCCTAAAAAAACTCAAAGTAAAACACATCATAGAAGGTGAGCCAGGGTAGAAAACAGAAAAGGGCATGATGAGCAGATGTGAGTTGAAGTCCCAATCTATCACTTACAACTGTGGGACCTGAAACTGATTATTGGACCTCCCTAGGCAGTTATTAGAATTAAACAAGAAAATTAGCATAAAGTGGATGTTCAACAAAGAATAGCTGTTATTAAGCTATCACATGTAGAACACTACCCCACTGCAGAAGTCTCAAAATGTCTACATATAAAAGTTTTTGCCACTAATAAATACCTTGATTTTTCCATCTTGAGCCCCAGTTGCTAACATTTCTGTATCTCTGCTAAAACACATGCAGAGAACAGCATCATCCATCATCATAAAGTTATCCTGGGCCTGGTATTTAAGATCCTAAAGGAAACAAAGATGGGCAGTTACCAAATAACACAAAACCCCCAATTACACCAGATCTCTACAAACTCACTACAAGCAGAATAATGGCCTGTGCCTGCTCTAAATATCAAAGGCAAATACTAGTGACATGAACATGTGTTCCTAATAAACTGATAGTGCTGAGAATAACTACAGTATTTATTATTGTATTAATGATTATTAATATTGCAAACAATTCTGATCTAACACCCTAATCTTTTGGTTACTGATCTTTTTTCTATGCAAAATTCCCCTACAACTTCACATTTTAAGTTTTTTATGTATCTGAATTTATTTTAGGGATATGATGTGAAAAACCAATGTCTTTTTCCAAATTGTTACCTCCTTTTTCCTAAAACTATGTATTGACTAATCTACTTAATTGTGATGTTTCTTTTATCATCCCTTATTGTTCAAAACAAAGTACCTTTATTTTTTCCTAATTACAAAGTAAGAGGGTCATGGTTTAAAAAAAAAAAAAAAAAGCAAACTATAAGGAAATTTATGTAGTAGAAAATGAAAACCACTCATGAATTCACTACCCATGGAGTAGAAGTTAGTATTTCTATGACAAAGACTGTATTTTAAATCAGTGGATAGTCAATAAATACCTATTTAGGAAAAAAATTAAGTTGAATCTACACCAACTTCATCCTTCTAAACAAATTCCAATGAATCAAAAAGTAAACATAAAATGAAACATGAAAGCAACAGAAATTGAAGAAAAAGATGGATAAAGGTAATGATACAAAAAAATTTAACTCTATAAAACAAAATGATGAGCAAAGTCAAAAGACAACAATCAAAATTGAAAAATATTTGCAATACATATACAAATACTGGTTTCCTCAAACTGTTCCTAAAAATATGAATCCAAAAGAAAAATAGGTAAAGGATATGAAGACTTCACAAAGCAGGTAATATTAGTGGCTTTTCACATATAAAAAAATATTCAATTTCATTTATAATGAGAGAAACACACAATATCACAATTACATTAGATTAGAAATAGTAAGTAATTGCTTATATATGCCTAGAAATTCCAGAAGGTTACATAAGCAACTGATAACCCTGGTGGGACCAAGGAACAGAATTAACCAATTGAGGGACAAGAGTAGGGGAGGCAAGACTCTTTTACTGAGTAACTTTTCTATTTTACAAAATGTTGTATCAGATGAGGCACTTGGGTGGCTCAGTCAGGTAAGTATCTGACTTCAGCTCAGGTCAAGATCTCAGGTCCTGGGATGGAGCCCTGCCCCTGGCTCTGCGTTCAGTGGGAAGTCTGCTTCTCCCTCTCTGTCTCCCTCTGCCCCTCCCCTTGTTCATGCTCCAGCTCTCCCTCACTCTCTCAAATAAATATTCTCTTTCAAAAAACTGTTCTATCAGATGTATATATTACTCATTTAAAAAATAAATTTATATTGTAAAAATAACATAACTTAAAAACAAAAAATAGATAACTCTCCTACTAGAAAAGTTGATATATTTTAAATACTTTACCTTTCTGATTTTTCCAGTTGTAAAGTTCCAGACTTCAATGAATCCATCAACAGACCCAGTGACCAAATACTGACCATCTGGAGAAAATCGAGCACACTCCACATGTGATTTCTGACCAAACTGTTTCAAATGAAACAATGAAACAGATGCATTTTTATCTACTGACCTTAAATCAATTTCCATTTTAACCTTTTGAGAAATCCTGCCCTAGCAAAGGTCACAGCAAGCCTTTATTACAGAGTATTGAGAAGTATTTCTGTATCTAGAAACAGAGACAATGGATGTATTTTCTCTGACCAGTTTTAGGTCTGGGCTCTCAGTTGAAACTAGTTTTTTTAATGTGAAGTTGGTATTCCCAAAGTAATGTGAAAGAACTACTTTAGCACAGGACTTGGAACAAATAATCCTATAAAATAATAAGTTTTTACCTGAGGCAGCCACTATTAGTATGACTTTCACACTCAATATGTTTTACATCTAGAGGAAAAAAAATCATTTTTTCAAAATAAATGTGTGTTTTCCTATACTATTTTGTAAACAAATTTTCCATTCTGTTTCTTTTCATGACCTTTATTTAATCAAGTGATAATATGTGGCTGACTAACTCTGGAACTAATTCAAGCCGACAGAATATTTGCCTAGGAGAGGTATCCCGAGCATTTACCAGCAGTGATGTTCCCAATAACAGATGAAAACCACAGAACGTTAGACAAATGAGAACAGAGAAAAGCTGTACTATGAATTTCACTTTAAATGCCAGAAAAGGAAGTGTTTATAAAACAAAATCTTGAGGCGCCTGGGTGGCTCAGTCAGTCAAGTGTCTGCTTTCAGCTCAGGTCATGATCTCTGTGGTCCTGGGGTTGAGCCCTGAGTCAGGCTCCCTGCTTGGGGGGGTGGGGGGGTCTGCTGCTCCCTCTCTGTTCCCACTCCCTCCATCTTCTGCTCTCTTGCACTCTCCCTCTCTCAAATAAATAAATAAAAATCTTAAAAGAAAAAAAAGAAAAAAGTCTTAGCCTGGCAGCCTAATTATAATGCATTTCTATTTGTCTCAAGGCTTCAGTTAGGTAAACAATAGTGCCACTCAGAAATATCTTTACATGTGAATCAAAACATATAATCCAGGAAAGATAAATTCAAAGCTCTAAGCCAAAGTCCAAGATTTGAAGAATATGAAATATTTCAAAATCCATACATTCAGTAAGAGCACAAACCCAGAGAGAAACTAATATAAAGGAGATGCTGGGGATCCCTGGGTGGCGCAGCGGTTTGGCGCCTGCCTTTGGCCCAGGGCGCAATCCTGGAGACCCGGGATTGAATCCCACATCGGGCTCCCGGTGCATGGAGCCTGCTGCTCCCTCTGCCTATGTCTCTGCCTCTCTCTCTCTCTCTCTCTCTCTCTCTCTCTCTCTCTCTCTATCATAAATAAATAAAAATTAAAAGAAAAAAAAAAGGAGATGCTGAAGTAGCAAATATGTTTGTAATTCTGGGAACTGAAGCAATTACTTGATTGTGCCTTTTCCTAAAAAAGTCTCAGATTAAAACAATTTAAAAAGAAACAAACAAACAAACAAGAACCAGCCATGAAATGATAAAATTCTTTTTCTCAAACACCACATAAGCCTGGTACTTTGCTGGACATGTAGCAGGCAAAAACACCAACGTTGAACAAGACAAATACACAGAAAGTTCATACTTAGCTCCAGGCTTAACCAAAGAGCTAACCATTCTTCTAAAGGAGGGCCTTCTGGGAGGAAGTACAAGGACACATGACGGGCCAGCTGCCAAATTTATGTCCACTTGGATATGCATCTGAGGTGTGCCACTGCCAGACCCCAGGAGGACCCCAGCAGCAACCCTGAATGTTGTCAGAGCTGGAGAATGAGTTCTCCCATCCTGGCACATGGCCTGGTTGAGCAAGCACATAGAGTCCTTGACAAATGATTACCAAATGGCTGAGCATCTAAGGATCCTACCTTAATATGCCTGCTCAGTTGTGTAGGAAACTTTTCTTCTTCCACATCTTTGACAGCTGCTTTGCCTCGGAACAAATCTATGGTCATGCCAGGAGGAAGCAACCCCTGGTGCTGCTGCCACTTCAGTGCCTATGAGAAAAGAAATGTCCAGTGATCTACTTGGGTGCTTTTAAGATCTGGACCTGACTGCTCAAAGCCAAGCCCAAAAGGATCAGGTTAACATCCAAACATCTTTGGCCATCCAAAAACAACATAATCTGTGCGACTCTCTCAGGAACACAGGCTGATCTCAGGGTGGAAGGGAACTCTGAGAGCCAACAGGTCCATGTTTCCATATCTATTTTTTTTATAGGTTTGACTTTTATTATAAACAAAATGTGGAAAACAAAAATCTCCCATAGTTCCAACAGCCAAATACAGCCACTGTTAGTTACCATTTTATGTATACCTTCTAGCATGTTTATTAATTAACATACCTATAACTATCCTCTATATAAAATTTTATATTCTATTTTCACCTATCATCAAATCATGCAATAACATAACTATCATTTCACTGACTGTAAAATATACCCTACCTGGTAAATATTTAACAGTTTAATTAATATATTAATGGACAGTCACACTGTGACCAATTGTTCACATGGCTAAATTATGCCACAACAAATACTTCTGAACATAAGGCTTTTTCTATTTAGAGGGTAATACTCACTTAGAATAGATCCCTAGAAGGATTATTGAATCCAAAAAAGAATAAGAATGGTTAAGGTTCTTGATATATACTGCCAAACGGTTTTCTCAAAAGGTTTCAAATTCAACACTCTTTATGACTACATTTGGGGAGTAGAAAAATCATGGATTTTGGAGACCGATGGTCCTAGGCTACATCATTTGCCAAATCTTAGTCCGATTCCCAATTTATTTCCTCTTCTGTTTACTCTTTATGTTCTCTGTGCACTTATCTATCTATTGTATTTTTCTTATTTTTCCTATCAATCTGTGAGCTTTTAATGTGATCAGGTATTTGTTATTTATGATTGCCAAAAAGAATGTTTTTCCAATCTGCCTATTTTTGATTATAGCTTAATAGGTTTCTTTAAACTTTTAAGTGATTAAATTTGTTGAGCTTTCCTTTGGTGATTACTCCCTAATTACAGGAAGTCCTTCCTTATCAAAAGGTTTGATACATTATTTCTGGTTTGTCTACTTTCTGATGTAACTTTCAATCCATCTGAAATTATGCTGTATAAAATGAGGTGAATCTGATCTGACCTTTTCCCCTCATTCTAAAGTAAGTGCCCCAGATTTATTGCAAAGAGGCTATTTATATCTGTATTAATCATTTGTACCCTGTGCTATTTATAAAAACCTATTACTCTAGTTTTCAGTAACAATGCTAGTAATACTACTAGTACTATTTAAAACACACACACACACACACACACACACACACACACACACACACACACACACACACCATCAGCAGCTATCATTTACTTAGGATTTACAAGGTGCCAGGCCAAAAAAAAAAAATTTTTTTTAACTGAAAAAAAAAAAAGTGCCAGGCAATTCAGGATATGCTTTAAATGTGTTTTCTCATTCAATCCCAACTACATCACTATGAGTAAATGGGATCAGAAAAGTTAGGGAAGCACATGGCTGACTGAGTCAGTGGAGCATGTGACTTTTGATTTCAAGGTCAGGAGTCTGAGCCCCACATTGGGTGTAGAAATAACTTAAAAAAAAAAAAGTTCAGGGCACTTGGGTGGCTGAGTGGTTGAGCGTCTACCTTTGGCTCAGGTCATGATCCCAGGGTCCTGAGATCAAGTCCCACATCAGGCTCCCCATGGGAAGCCGGCTTCTCCCTCTGCCTATGTCTCTGCCTCTCTGTGTCTCTCATGAATAAATAAATAAAATCTTTAAAAAAATAAAAAATTAAAAAGTCCAGCAAAGTTAGGTAATGTGCCAAAGACTACATCAGTTGGTAAGTGAGAGATCTTGGCTTCTAACAACAGTAAACATTTCTTCCAATTTGCCTTTGACAGTGTCCTGGCACAATGATCAACAATACTCTCAAGCCATCCCAAATGGAATAATATATTCTATGGTCATCCTAATTCTAACTAATTCTAGAGCTTATGTTATTAACCACTAATCTATACTGCTTCTCCCAGGAAAGATGAGGGCGGCATGCCACAGGTGTTGGTACAAGCAGCTCTACAGGTATTCCCAACTCTAAAGATGTCTGATTTATTTAGCCTGTACATAGTTTATATACAGGAAACAATACCAGGAGTGCAGGGTAATTTCAGTTCCACAGACTTTAATTACCTGCCCCAGCAATGCCATGAGACGAGATGGAGGCACCACACTGACTTCCCCAGCTAAGGCCTGGGCAATAGCTGCTCTTCTCTTCTCTTTGCTACTTCCATCTGGGTATGCCTGAAAAAGAAGGAGTAGCATCATTTCTAAGAAACGGCTACAGGGTATGAGTGTGCCTATTTAAATACAACAATAATCATCAAGCAGAAACATTTTTTAAAAACGTAAAAAGAAATACCTGGCTAAAAAAGGGATTAGTCATATTAATCCGTTAAAACAACTTCCCAACTCTCCCCACTTGCATTTCAAAGAGCTGGGAAAGAACTGAGGTCAGCCAATCCATACTGTTATTTCTGAAAGGGTCCAAGTAAACCACATCAAAGCCAGAGTTGTTTCTCTAGTTTTTTGAAAAATCTGCAGAAATAATGATTCTTTTAGTAATTCATTGGTATTTTATTTGGCCCAATGACTCCCAGCCCAGAAGTTCTTCACCACCTCTAACTTGAATCCTGTCATGGTAATCTAAATTTCTTTCCTTTAGCCTCATGGTTTCTGTGAGTTTACCTTAACTTTCCATCATTACCTAGGACCTATTAAATTCTTTTTCCTCCTATTTAGACTAATAAAAGGCTGGGTGAGAAATAATGAAACTATACATATAATAAGATTTGGAAAGAAGAAAAGAGTATTAAGTCACCACACTCTACCAGTAAGCTGAGACAAAAGCACGAGCTTTATAAGAACTAAGAAAGTTGGGAGAAAACTGCACTTGTAGGGCCAAGGGACACAAATGCACACTAAATATATGAGTAGTCAGGAAGCACTTCAGGGTCAAATAAGTACTTGGGCTAAGATGGAAATTACATCAGAGCAAATTTTTTTGTTTCTTTAGTAATCAACATACAACCCTCTAAAATGTGGTGTGCAAGGAAAGGAAGACCTTCAAAAACTCAAGAAAACTGAACGATTATTCTCTTTAGCATATGTAAATTTCTTTTTTTAAGTTTTTTTTTTTTTTTTTTTTTTTTTAATTCATGAGAGACACAGAGAGATAGAGAGCCAGAGACATAGGCAGGGGGAGAAGCAGGCTCCATGCAGGGAACCCAACGTGTGACTCCATCCTGGGACTCCAGGATCCAGGACCAAGCCTTGAGCTGAAGGCAATTGCTCAACTCTTGAGCCACCCAGGCGTCCCTGCATATGTAAATTTCAATCAACATACATAAACAGTAAAGTAACATTCTCAAAAATTAAAGCAAAATCACAAACAGTATCCAATAAAATGGTAAAAAGCAGATTACATTATTGCATGTTTTTAAAGTTAACAAGTTTCTTGTCATACCTCACGAGGATCAAAATAAGACCTGGCCAAGAGGTTCTCCAAATGAATATACCGCTCTGGCTGTGTTTGTTTTAACATGATCATGGGGTCAGTCTGTCTCAGGAGTGACCTGGCGGCCCCCAATTCACGCAACTCTATCAATTCTAGAACAACCTGGATAATTGAAAGAAAATGTTTGTTTCAATGCATTCTCTTAGTACTCTTTCAGTACAATTTCTGATTCAGAAATGGCCTCCAAACATGATTTCCAATATTAGGAAATGCTCCTTCCTCTTTTCCCTAGCATTTTCAGGTGGAAAAATAAAGCAATTATAAATGGTAACTTCAATCTTTTTTTTTAAGATCTTATTTGAAAGAGAAAGAGAGCATGAGGCGGGGAAAGGGAGAGGAAGAGGGAGAAACAGACTCCCTGCTGAGCAGCAGAACCTGATGCAGGATTTAATCTCATGACACTGAGATTATGACCTGAGCTGAAGTCAGACACTTAACTGACTGAGCCACCCCAGTGCCCTGGTAAATTCAATCCTTCAACTTCTGTTCTTCATTTTTATCTACCCATCTCCTCTCACCTCACGCTTCCTGTTTAGAATACAAAACCCAAGAAAATTAAAGATGAGAATATTTCCACGGGCTCCAGAGAAACCTTTCTCCGGTTAACAAAATTTTCTTTGGGGAATTACTGAACTCATGTGGATTATAAATAAACAGACCAACTATCCTACTTTTATTTCAAACAACACTATATTCCTATTTCCAGCAAGCCCATTCTGTTATCATACAAGTGTATAATAACTAATTTGTATGATTTCTGTCCTGTTTTCCTGGCAAGGAGCTTCTAAAAACCTTGGAATTTCCCTAATGATAGGAATATATTCATTATTAATGAGCCTTGCATCACATCTGAGTTTGTGCTATGAAGACAGCTCATGGAAAAGGCTGGTTGCCAGAAAGACCAATCCTATTAGAAGGTTGAGGTTTTGAGTCACCCTAACCTCCAAGGAGTGGTAGAGCGGGAGACTGAAAGAAACCCCAATAAAAACCCCAATGGTGGGATCCCTGGGTGGCGCAGTGGTTTGGCGCCTGCCTTTGGCCCAGGGTGCGATCCTGGAAACCCGGGATGGAGTCGGGCTCCCGGTGCATGGAGCCTGCTTCTCCCTCTGCCTGTGTCTCTGCCTCTCTCTCTCTCTCTCTGTGACTATCATAAAAAAAAAAAAGAAAGAAAGAAAAACCCCAATGGAGCTTCCTGGTTGGTAAACACATTAATAAGTCAGGTGAGAGAGATGCTCTGATTCCATAGGGAAAGAGCATTAGAAGCTCTGGACTCAGGACCCTCCTAAACTTCACCTTTATATGTCCCTTCATTTGACTAGTCCTGATTTGTATTCTTGATAATAACACTGTAATCACAAATATAGCACTTTGCTGAATTCTGTGATTCATTCCAGTGAATTATACATTCTGAAAGGGTCATGGGGAACCTCAGATATGCAGCGACTTGGTCAGAAGTATGTGTGGCCTGAGACCTGCAAAAAGGGCAGCCTGCATCTGAAGTAAGGGCTACCTTATGGAGGACTGAGCCTTTAGCTTGCAAGGTCCACACTAACTCTGGGTGGTTAGTGCTGGAACTGAATTGTAATACACTAACTGGTTTCAGAACAGTTTGTTTTGTTTTTGTTTAGAGATTTTATTTATTTATTCATGAGAGAGACAGAGAGGCAAAGACATAGGCAGAGGGAGAAGCAGGCTGCCTACTGGGAGCCTGATGTGGAACTCGATCCCAGGACCACAGGATCAGACCCTGAGCCAAAGGCAGACGCTCGACCACTGAGCCACCTAGGCGTCCCAGAACAGTTTGTTTAATGATCACTTAAAAAATAATTTTAACTTGGGAAAATCTTGGCTTCTCAAAAAAAAGGGGAAAAAAAATAAAAGTAGCACTCAAGCCTTGACAGTGTAAGTTTTAAGGGCTATTACAGTCCCCCAGAGCATTCAAGGAATGTTCACTGATGCTTCCCAGTGAGGTGGCCCACAATAAACCAATAAACCAGCATCACCTCCACTCTTACCTGTTCATAGAGATCGATGAGGGTTTTATCTGGCAATTTCAGAGACTGTATAGCCTGTAAAACAGTATCCCAATGGCCACTATTAATGTCAGCTACAAAACTCTCAATGCTGTCCACGGTATTCAGAGACACAGTAGTCTCTTCCTGTAAGGTGGCTAATGCCCGATGTAAACTGTTCTCCTTCAGATACTGCATGATGAGACGGATCACACTGAAAAAAGAAAGCAAGTCATCTAGCTCAGGAATCCTCACTCACCAAAAAGTCCACAAAATAAAGCTGCCCACCACAGCTTATTCTTATTCACATTTTATTCGGCCATCTTCCTTTCACTATTTGCTTTCCATTTCTTTATCACGTTAAGTAAACTTTCCAGAAATCACAGAATCTCAAGTTACAAGAGACTTTTGAGGATCATCCAGTCCTACTTCCATCTCAAAATTCAAGAACTGGAGTTCAAAAAGGGGATATAATTTGCCCAGTGTCTTACAGTCAGCTAGAAAGGGAGCTGGTATCAAGGTGACTCTCCTACTTCCAAGTCCCAAGATCTTTTTATTATGCCAAGTTTCTTTTTCAATTTGTATGATTATATTGCTGAACACTTTAAAAGACTGGTTTATTTTAGATGGAGAGTGAGCATGAATGTGTGGGAAGGGGCAGAGGGAGAGGGAAGGGAGAATTGACGCAGGGCTCGACCCTGAGATCATGACTTGAGCTTAACCGACTTGCGCCTTTCAGGTACTCCCATTGTTGTTCACTTGTGTGAAATATTTAAACCTAGTCCAGTTATTGACACAATATACTTGAAATGCTTATAGGATGACTTGGTCTATTTTTTTTAAATGACAATCAAAAAAATATGAATTGAGATTTTCTTAATAGGGATTTGTTGAGGGATGCCTGAGTGGCTCAGCGGTTGAGCATCTGCCTTTGGCTCAGGGCGTGATCCTGGGATCCAGGATCGAATCCCACATCAGGCTCCCTGCATGGAGCCTGCTTCTCTCTCTGCCTATGTCTTGTCTCTTCCTCTCTTTGTGTCTCTTGTGAACAAATAAATAAAAAATCTTTAAAAAAAAAATAGGGATTTGTTGAATAAGTAGAACTATACCATGTATAAAACCAAAACAAAGCAACACCGACCCACTGCCTTTATTACCAGATTTTCAGGACAAGTGAAATAAAAACATTGTGGATTCACTTTCCCAAGGAAGAGAGAAGCCAGATGATTTCCAAATATGGAGAAAAGAAGCAACTACTTTCAACATGTAACAGAAAACTTTTAAGTCATTTATAGTTAAATATAGTTATTTATAGTTAAAACTTCTTGATCATGGGCTTAATAAGGAATCTAGTGAAGAATCTGTTCATATAGACTATAAAACTTCACTGTACAATGCTATAATACACTGTTTTCCTTCTTTAAAAGTACGTATGTGGCTCACACTGTATTTCTTTTTTTTCTTTTTGGGGGGAGGGGCAGAGGAGAGGGAAATAGAGAAAATCTTAAGTAGGCTCACACTCAGTGCAGAGCCTAACATGGGGCTTGATCTCACAACCCTGAGATCATGACCCGAGCCGAAATCAACAGTTAAACGCTTAACCCATTGAGCCACCCAGGTGCCCCTCATACTGTATTGTTACAGACAGCAGGAGTATAGAGGGTCAGGCTGCCCTGGTTGGAAGGGCAGATTGGAATTTAGTCAATTCCCTCTATCAGGGCGAAATAATAAACATAAAACAATGAACAAAGTTTATTATTTATTATACATTTACTATATTGGGTACTGTTTTAAGTATTTAGGCATATTGATTCATTTATTCCTGAAAACAATGCGATGAGCTAGGTATTACTATAATGTCCATCTTACAGATGAAGATTTGACCAAGTAACAGAGATAAATGGAGAAATGAAGGCTCGAACTGACAACATGGCTCTTGAGCACATCCCAGACAGGAAAGCAAACACTCTCTTCTTGAAAACTCCTGCAGAAGGAAACTTTACTGCTACTTGCAGTCTTTTCTCTCATGGCCCCTTTAAAAGATACTCAGCCTTAGATCCCTGCTATTCTAGTAATTTTTTTTTATTCTAGTAATTACTATCCTTCTTAGCATACTTCTATTTGCACTCCCCAAAGAGACACTGTCCCTGTAAAGGTCTCACATTTGACACACCTCAAATCAAATTTACTTTCTTCAAACACAATATACAGTTGACTCTTGAACAACATAGGTTAGGGGCACTGACCTCCCCCTACAGTCAAAAATCTGCGTTTAACTTTTGATTCCCCTAAAGCTTAAATGTTAAAAGCCTGCTGTTGACTAGAAGCCTTACTGATAACATAAACAGTCAATTAACATATATTCTGTATGTTACGTGTACTATATATTGTATCCTAACAATAAAGTAAGCTAGAAGAAAGAAAATCATAAGGAAGAGAACATACACTTACAGTACACTATAAAAAAAAAATCCTCAAAAAAAAAAAAAATCCTCAGATAAGGAGACCAAACCCATGTTCCTTAGGGGTCAACTGTAATACATAAAGACCTAAAAGCTTTGGAGATTGGCTGGGATTTGAATCAGAGTTGCACTTACTGTGACCTTGGGCAAGTCCATTAACACCTCTGTGCCTGTTTCCACATCTGTTAAGAAAAATACCTACTCTGTAGGGTTGAAGAAAAGGATGACTATACTGTTTATGGCATGACTAGCAGAGAAAATACTCCGTAAATAGTAGATACTATTGATAATAAAAACATTGCAGGGGCGCCTGGCTGGTTCAGTCAGTATAGTGTGTAGCTCTTGATCTCAGGGTTGTGGGTTCAAGCACCACACTGCGTGTAGCAATTGCTTAAAAATAAAATATTTTGGGGATCCCTGGGTGGCTCAGTAATTTAGCACCTGCCTTCAGCCCAGGGCGTGATCCTGGAGTCCTGGGATCGAGTCCCACATCGGGCTCCAGTCCCACATCAGGCTCCTTGCATGGAGCCTGCTTCTCCCTCTGCCTGTGTCTCCGCCTCTCTCTGTGTCTCTCATGAATAAATAAATAAAATCTTTTAAAAAATTAAAAATAAAAAAATAAAATCTTTTTCTTTAAAGATTTTATTTATTCATGACACACACACACAGAGAGAGGTGGAGACACAGGCAGAGGGAGAAGGGGGAGCCTGATGCGGGACTCAATCCCAGGACACTGGGATGACAACCTGAGCTGAAGGCAGACACTCAACCACTGAGTCACCCAGGTGCCCCTTAAAAATAAAGTCTTAAACCAACAACCCATGCAACAGCCCAAGGATGGGAGAATGGTTGGTGTCTGCTATTAGACCCCAAAGCATGGAATCCTTTTTTTTTTTATTATTATTTATTTATGATAGTCACACACACAGAGAGAGAGAGAGGCAGAGACATAGGCAGAGGGAGAAGCAGGCTCCATGCACCGGGAGCCCAACATGGGACTCGATTCCGGGTCTCCAGGATCGTACCCTGGGCCAAAGGCAGGCGCCAAACCGCTGCGCCACCCAGGGATCCCAAAGCATGGAATCCTTTCCAACTCCTGCCCTGACTCTGTCTTAGTTGACAGCACTATCACTCCTTTGCCTTATTTTTCTCAACACTTATTACCAACTGTTAAGTCTCATCTTCTACCTACTGTTTTTGTCTGTTGTCAGCCCTCTCCAATCCACACTGGCCTATAAAAGCAAGGATTTCTGTTTTGTTCATTACATCCTCCGGGTCATAGTAGACTTCAATATTTGTTGGATGAATAAACCTCTCTTTCCCTTGTGGCGGGGTCTCCAGGACAAGTCCTCTCCCTTTTTTACATTCAGGACATAAATGTTATGTCTCCTGGTTCAATTATTAAATGTTGGCAAGGGCAAGGTAGAGGGTGGAATACTGAAAGGGTTCACTAAAGACCTTCTTCAGTCACTCATTAGTCGGCCTCCCCTCCAAGTCGATCACTCTTCTGGCCCAATCTTTAAATTGTTTCTCCTTTGTAGCTACAGAGAACTCACCGCCCAATCAGAATTCAGCGCCAGATAGAGCGTGATAAAACAGCTAATTGTTCATTCATTCCAAAGGCAGTAACTGAGCCTGTCTACGGAGTGCTAAGCACTGGGACTATAAACAAAAGGAGCTCCTGGGCGCCTACACCGGCCAGTAGGGTGGGCAGAGAGGCAGTGACAATACTGGGTAAGCGCTGGGCAAAGGAAAGCAAAGGGGCTAAGCACCGAGGAAACGAGCCACGCTGTTTAAGTGAGAGCTGGGAGAGAAGGAAGCTTAGAACCCAAGCTCTCCTGCGCAGGTAATTAATTAGGCTGGAGTCCAGAATGGATGGGCAACTTGACCCGACACAGAACACGCCAGGAGTCGGCGATGGCTAGAACTCAACTCTTCAAGCCCTATCCTTCCCTCTAGCCCCGTGCGGTCTCCCATGGGGTTTTGGGCTTCTCGCCCGCTACTTTCTAGAGGACCCGCCTCCGAGGTAGCCAGATCCAAGATGTTTCTTTGAGGGCAAGGGAATGCCCCTCCACTCCCGAGGCTCTCGGACGCCTCCCCCGAGCCTCTTTCACCCCACACCCTTCACCTCCCCGCCCCCCGCGCTGTGCGAACTTCCGCCCGGCAGCACTCACTCCGAGGACTCGATTTCGATCGACATAGCGATATCTTCTCACGGGGGTACCGACCAGTCCACGGCGAGGCCCAGTAGCGCAACGCACCGACTACACCTCCGGCGGCCGCCTTACATCACTTCCGCTCGACGTCCGACGTGCGCTCCGGAGACGGCGTGTACGACCGAGGGGCGTGGAGTACGTGAGGGGCGGAGCCTCGAGCGGCCGATCGCGATCTGAGTCTGCGCGCCTGCCCCCCTCCCCCCCCAGCTCCGGGGAAACCCTTCTTCCCTGTCCTCCCCGTGGGTAAACGGCTTAGGAGCGCGGGTTTGGAAATGTTGCTTTCATTTAATTCAATTAATTGCTAGGTTTAAAGATAGGGTTGGATTTACCATATCCAACCTGCGAGATTAATACATTCGAAACCACTGGAACCCTAGCCGACATTTGCAGGAAGAGTCAACTGAGAAGAAATAGAAAGATTTAAGAGAATAATAAGACTCTGCAGCCGAGACAGTTTTATCAGTCTAATTATGAAAAGTTTGAGACGTAGATGGGATTTGCAGACCCACTTCTCGGAAAAGAGCTAAAGTAACTTCTAGAATTTCCAGCTAAGTATTTAGTTGAGAAGAGTTCACTGCAAAGGTAAGGTTATTAGAAAAACAATGAAGCCAAATGCAAATGTTCAAAGGGAGGTCTGAGAATGCTTTTTATAGACTTCATACATTACAAAGTTAATAGGGACAAATGAAAGGTAGGGATGTCCATGAATTTCGTAAAGGCAAGTTTTTAAAGTATTGCCATTATGTATGAATTCTTAAAATATTTGCAGCAAAAATGGTAAGAAATCTGTGTTGCGAAAATTACATATTGAAATGCTTTTATTTGGAGATTTCCTGGCTTTTGCAATCTTATCTGATACTGTCTCCAAAAGGTCTGCGCACAGTTTCTCTCTCGCCTCTTTTTTTTTTTTTTAATTTATTCATCTATTCATGATAGAAAGAGAGAGGCAGAGACACAAGCAGAGGGAGAAGCAGAGGGAGAAGCAGGCCCCACGCCGGGGGCCCGACACAGGACTCGATCCAGGCATTCCAGGATCGCGCCCTGGGCCAAAGGCAGGAGCCAAACCGCTGAGCCAACCAGGGATCCCCACCTCTCTTGCCTCTTAAATATCACTTCTCTTTTTCAAATCTTTCTCTTTGCCATCAACTCTTCAAGAACATGGCCTCCAAGATCACAAAAGTCTTAGAATGCTAATGTTTGCTCCAGCCCGGGGTGAGATAGCTAGATAGGTGTGTGATTTCTGAGATTCTTTCGATATCCCATCCCAAGACACAATTTAGGAGATTATTACAATGTCTTCCTTGAAGAGTCTGCCCATTTTCAACAATAGCATACTCATTTTCTTCACCTACTACTTATCATGTTATTTTTGCTTCAATTAAGGCTACTTCCCTATCTCACTTGTACAAATAAGTCTTCTCTATAATTATTTTAACCACACATTTTATTCTAGTGTCCACTACACCTCTGCTCTCATTTTAAATGGAATGGCTTCTCTCCTTGTGACTCCTATTGAATCTTTAGGCCCAAGGATTTAAATATTGAAATACATAATTAACATATTTTATAACAATGTTTTTGTAATATTAGGCATTATATTTATTTTTTTCATTACTTCTATGAATAGATTATATTGTATAAGCACTTCAGGATAACAAAGGGAATTACCAAATATTTGAAGGGCCTTGAGCCTAATAGTACTTGAGAACACGGAAAATCTCCATCACAAAAAATTCCAACATAGGGGCACCTGGGTGGCTCAATTGGTTAAGTGTCTGCCTTCCGCTGGTTTCATGATCCTAGGGTCCTGGGAGTAAGCCCCATGTAGGGCTCCCTGCTCAGTGGGGAGCCTCCTTCTCCCTTTCCTTCTGCCATTCCCCATGCTTGTGCTCTGCCTCTCTCTGTCAAATAAATAAATAAATAAATAAATAAATAAATAAATGAATGAATGAATGAATGAATGAATGAATGAATAAATAAATAAATAAAATCTTTTTAAAAAATTCCAACATACTAATTCCAATCTCTTATTTTTCTTACTCTCTTTAACATAAGAAAGATATTTTAGAAAACACTAAAAAGAAAAAGAAAATAATACTTATTGTGAAAAAGACATTTATGTAAAGTGAGGCAATTTCTTTGGTTTCATTTTAGTTTCTTTTTATTCAGTCAGTTACAGGTACACTAAATTGGTTGGGCTTTTTCTCTAAAAAAAAAAATGTATTATCCTATTTTATGAAAGCACAGGTCTACAATTCCTTACCTAAAATTCTGAAATCTAAAAAGCTGTGAAAATTAAAGGTATTTTGTAAGTTGGCAGCACAGTCTGTCCTGAATTTAAGTAAGGCTATTTGCAGTTTTTAAAACATCTCTTAGTGTGAATATTCATTTGCAGAAATGTTAACATTTAATTATGGAGTACTGCCTAGATCCTGCTGGGAGATATTATAAGCATATAAACTATACTATATTTCTAAAACATAAAAAATTCTAAAATCTAAAACATATCTAGGCTATTTTCAGAAAAAGTGTTGTGAGCCTGTTCAACCTATGTATCTATCTAATCTCTAATTGTATATATGTCAAGGCTCTTTGAAGTGATATTCACCTAGCATCATCTAGGTGACAGGATTTGGACTAATTTTTTATTCTCTTCTTTTTTTTTTGTATCATTAAAATGATTTTTCATAAGCATGTACAAAATTTTTTTGAATTTCAAGAAATTATAGTACTTAAAGGCACAAATATCAGTTATCTCCAAAATTATATGGAAAAATTCAATCTATGATACTTCTAATTTCAGAGAAATAAAAATTGCTTCTAAACTAAAAGAGACAATGAGATGTGGGAAGGCACACATAAACTATTCTATCTTCTATCTGCACCACTTACTGCTTTAAAAAAAAAAAAATTCCATGTTGTCAGATGGTCTTTTTTAAGTCAGAACTTATTTGTGGCCAGGTCTGTGGTTTATATTACCCATGACAAACAGACACCATTCCTGAGAAATGAAATTTTATCACAGTTAGTAGCCTCATCCTTTACTTCTTATATGTGTTGGATTTTTAATCTCTGATTAACAGCCAGTATCGCTGGCATCACACATTCTCCTCATTCATGTTTCCTCTGTAATAACAGATTTAAATATAACATTTTTGTTACCATGTCCTAAACTGCAATCCTTATCTAGTTAGGAAGGTTTTTTTCCCCCTAAACGAGCTGCTTATGTAAGTCTTCTGTATCCCAACTATATAACCAATCAATTTCCATATCCTTTTCGTTCCCAAAGCATAAGCTTTTGTCATCTTGCTGATCCCTTATTAGCAAGACGATAAACTTTAGTGGTTACTAAAAGACCAATTTCTATCAAATTTTTTTCTTCACACTAGACAAATGAGGTGTCTTACATCTCTTTATCTGCATATGGACAAAGAAACTCAACAATACAACTTCTAACCTCTAAACCAGGCAGTTGTATTCATCAGGAAGCTTCCCACCCTCCACTCAGGGACTAGGTTACAGCCTCCTAAACCTGATTTCTTGTGAACAAATGGCCTACAGTGACCCCAAGGGAAATCTAATCTACTGATCATGTCCCCTTTCCAGAAAGCAGGCCTTTCCCAGAAGTCCATGCTTCTACAGTCTATCTCCTTAATCCAGCAGAGGGCAGGCTGACCACAGAAAAGCTTCTGGATCTCCAGATTATCAAATTCATTATTAAGGAGGCGAGGTATAGGAGAGATCTTCAGACCATTGAGCAAGCGAAGTAGAAGGCAGAGTCAATATTTGCCAAAATGGGGCAAAAATTGGCCCTTCCTAATAAACTAGATCAGTTTCATCTAACATGATATTAAGGCAAAGTCTAGAGAAAAAGTATCACACAATTCTACCTGTTTGAAGCAGGTCATGACTTACTAGATCTTCTAACTCAACCTTCTCTTTAATTCCCACCTCCTTCTCCAGAGCAGGAATCTCTATCATCCCTGATGAAGAACTTTCTTTTTTTTTTTTTATACCCATTTGACTGAAATCCACCTGTTCCAACTTGGAACAAAATGTGTTTTTCTGTAACTCCCAAAGAGCAAGGATGTTCCTTTCACAGATTGCACTGTGACCCTGGCCCTAGAGTCAAAAGAGCAGTTTCTCCACATGGATTAATTTTTATGAGGGACAAAAATATTTTCCAGAGGTCCCTCCGCCTTCAGCTGATACAGTGGCCAAGGTGGTAGTATGTATGTGTCCATTGTCAAGTTGAAGCCATTACTGGCAAGGGGAATGGAATTACCATGTTTGGCCTGAACATGCACATGTGCCCCCTGGGGCTACAAAGAGACTGCTTTCCTGAGCATCCAAATGCAATCACAGATCTTCCAGCAAGGAGGAAGAGATGGGGCTAGTGGGGTAAACAGCAAACCCTCTCTGCGTGGTCTGGTCTGTGAGGCTGGTAAGAGGCACTGAAGAGTTTCATCACACAGACAACAAAGTGGAGAGGAGAAACCAAAGGGCTCCACCCAGGTCTCACCGTGAGTGAGTCCCAAGCTTGTAAGAACTCACTTATGCTGACGTCTGTCCTTTCACTTCCTTCTTTGACCAGTGTCCAATTCAGTGGCTGCAGGTGCTGTCCCCAGTGGACCAGCCAAGTCCAGGCTTATAGGACTAGACAGAAGCAGAGGGGGGAAGTTGCCTTCCCAGGAGGGCAAGGAAATGGGACTGACTGCCTTGGGACACAGAGAATAGTTCTAGCCTGATGACATGATGCTTCCATAGGACTTGAGCTACACATGCCTATCATGGAGGCACCTTCTAAGGAAACAGCCTCACCCACAACACCATCTAAAAGGGCAACCATAGACAACCAGAGGTAGTAGATACCATACCCAAAAGCAGACAAACCATAGGCTGACTGGCATCCTATGATTTGAACTGACTCAAAGAGATTAGTTGAGCCAGTTTTTCTCTCTGTCTCAGAATTATGACCTTCAGGGGTGCCTGGGTGGCTCACTTGTTTAACTGGCTGCTGTCAGCTCGTTCATGATCTCAGGGTCCTGGGATCTAGCCCCGAGTCAGGTTCCC